TTCATCATGATGGGCAAAAGGTGCGACTTACGCTGTCCAGGGGGAGAAATAAAGAATGTCCGCACGCTTCTGTCCTAGTCAATGCTTTATTCACTCAAATCACTCAATATAATTTCACTCTATAGGTTCTTAATCAAGAAAACGACAATCCTTAATGCTAGGCACTGCAATAGACATAATCAATTCACAGCAAACAATTCTAGATTAATTCTAAGTTCTGCAAACACATTTAATCATGAAAAGCTCATGACAGACATTCCCTCTGCTTGCTAAGTTCAAGTGTCAGATCAAAAGTCTCAAGCCTTATGCTTTAAGTCCAGCAGATGCACACTTAACTCAGACCACCATGATCAGGTCAGGAACCAAGGCAAGCCTCTCCTGGGGTGGAGCTGACGGCTGGCTGAGAAGGCAGTCAGTCATAGGGAGAAGTCCATTTCTCACCAGAGTTAAGAGGCTGCTGTAGAGTTTGAGGGCAAAAGAACAATACAGAGGTTTAGGCAGATGAGAAGAGTTGGGATGTTAATCCAGGTCCTCATCAGGCTCTCAGGCTTGGGTGCCTCAGTGTCAGCTGGCTGAATGTCTGTTCATTTGCTCCATTATTTATAGCAAATTTTGGAGCTTTTGATGCCTCTTTCAATCCTTATCAGCTGCCAGCAGGTCTCTTAGTGATGTCATTTACCCTGGGGTTAAAACATCTGGTCTGGTGGTCCCCACCCTGATCTTTTTGCCTTTCCCTCTTGGTGGGTGCCTTTCCCTCTTATCTGGCAAGGACAGTCTGCCTGAGACTTCACTCAGAGTTTGTCAGGGTGGGGAGAAGTGACTTGTTTGTGCCTGAGGGCCATACTGGAGGGCTCTGTTAGGTGTGCCTACTGAGACTGGAGTTTTAAAATGGCCTAAGGCCATCCTTACATGATCTTATGAGTTATTTGGTAGATATATATATATATATATTAAAGAAAGAGTGAGAGAGAATTTTAATATTTATTTTTTAGTATTTGGCGGACACAACATCTTTGTTTGTATGTGGTGCTGAGGATCSAACCCGGGACACACGCATGCCAGGCGATCGCGCTACCGCTTGAGCCACATCCCCAGCCCCATTTGGTAGATATTTTTGCTAAGCCTAAGCCTATAAGA